ACTCTGGGAGCCCTTTGCGACCCTTTTGGCCCCCCCCCCCCCCCCCTCCCCACAGGCGCTGCTCTTCCGTGGCCCAGCCTCGCTGCACGCGCTGTGCGCGCGTCGGAGTGGGTTGCTGCTCCACGCGCCGTGGACCGCCTCACCCTCGCCCGCCGTGTGCCCCTCAGGTACACCTTCCTGCTCGGCGCCAAGCAGCAGCAGTACCACCTATCCGTGCAGCTGGCCGCGCCCCGCGCCTTCCTGCACGGCGCGCCTCACGCGCCCCGACTGAGGTGCCGCAGCCTCTGCCGCCACCTCTCCGGCTGCTCCTCGCACCCCCCTCGAGCCGTCCGGAGCCTGGCTTAGGTACCGAGGCAAGGTGCGCGAGGGCGGCGCGGGTGGCGCGCTGCAGGAGCGCAGAGCGGCGCGCGCTCTGGCGACGAGGGAGCGGCGCCTCTTGAGACGCGCCTGTCCTGCCCGGTAGGAGCGGGTGGAGGTGGATTGCGCCGAGCTTGGCGGAGGCGCGAGGCTGGCTGGCTCGAGCGGCGCGCTGCTTCCAGGCACCGTCTCGCGCTGCTGGGAAGTGTCATAGGAAGTGTCTAGGAAGTGTCTCGCGCTGCTGCCAGGCACCGTCTCGCGGCTCGTCTCCCTCCTGTCGGAGGCTCAGGCGGGAGGGCCACGCCGCGCTCCCCACAGCCTCCCCCCTCCCCACGACCCCCTCGCATCTCCATCCCACGCGCCGCACACGCCTCCCACGACGTGCCTCCCGTGCCCCGTCCCCCGCTCGCCCCGCGCCTTCGGTTCCGGTCGACACCGGACCCACCCACTCACCCACTCCTCCACTCACCAGGCCGGCGAGTACGAGCTGCGCGCCGAGCCGCTCGACCGCCACTCCGCGTGGCTCAACCTGCCTCCTCCCCCGCCTCCGCAAGCCGCGGCGCAGCCCCTCGCAAAGCTCGTGGTCCAGACGCACGGCCGCGCAGAGCCGCCTCTCGACACCGACGGCCAGCCGCCGAGCGTGGACCGGCTGGTCTGCAAGGGCGGCTCGCTCCACCTCGTGTGCTGAGGGGACGGCGGCGGCGGCGGGGATGGGGGGCGGGCAACGGAGGGCGCCCTCGCGCGTCGTCTCATGAGCGTTTGCAAGCGCCGGCTCTCCTTTTGTACGAGTTGATCTCTTTCGACGGGCGTGGGGTTTGAGGCCGCTGCCCTTGCCGGCAGCGCGGACGCCGCGGGGACGCGGCACGTACGTGCCGCCACTATTTGTCGCGAGCATGTGCACTGCATGTGCACTGCATGTGTGGCCGGGGTCGGAGCACTCGCCCGTCGCCGCGTGCCGCGCAAGGTCGTGAATGAAATCGCTCTGGACACAGGTCAGGAGAGAGAGACGACCGCGGCGTCCGGAGAGTCGTACGGCAATCGGGCCACGCACATGGGTTTCTTTTACAGTTACGATACGAAAGAGCGCCAAACACCCTTGCTTGCCTTGGCCCGACGAATTCGAATTGCGAATG